ACTGCCTGCTCTTATCCTTTGACCATTGATAAATTAGGGAATGACTTATAGTCTTATAAATTTGACTCAGTTCTCTATATATTTGAGAAATGAGGCCTTTATCAGAGAAACTTGCTGTAATGATTGTTTCCTAGATTTCTGCTTTCTTTCTAATCTTGGTTGCATTGGGTTTTTTTGTACAGAAGCTTTTTAATTTAATATAATCAAGTTATCTATTTTATATTTCATAATGCTCTCTGTCTCTTGTTTGGTCATGAATTCTTCCCTTCCTCATAGATCTGACAAGTAGACTATTCCTGGCACCCATTTTGACCTTATCTTAGTATGTGGTGTGAGATGTTCGTCTATACCTAGTTTGTGCCCTATTGTTTTCCAGTTTTCCCAGCAGTTTTTGTCAAATAGTGAGTTCTTATCCCAGTGGCTGGGTTCTTTGGGTTTACCAAACACTAGGTTACTATGGCCATTGACACACTGTGTCTCATGTACCTAATCTATTCCACTGATCCACCACTCTATTTCTTAGCCAGTACCAGATAGTTTGTTGATTATTGCTTTATAATATAGTTTGAGATCTGGCATTGCTAAGCCATCTTCCTTTGTATTTTTTATTAATTCCCTTGATATTCTGGACCTTTTGTTCTTCCAGACAAATTTTGTTGTTATTTTTTCGAGCTCTATGAAATAGTTTTTTGGTAGTTTGATTGGTATGGCACTGAATAAGTAAATTAGCTTAGGTAGAATTGTCATTTTTATTACATTGGCTCAGCCTACCCATGAGCTATTGATATTTTTTCCAATTGTTTAGATCTGACTTTATTTGTGTGAAAAGTGTTTTATAATTGTGTTCATATAGTTCCTGGGTTTGTCTCAGCAGGTAGACTCCATAGAATTTTATATTGTTTACAGTTATTTTAAGTGGAATTTTTCTTTTTTCTCTTGCTGCTGGATTTTACTGGTCATATAAAGAAATGCTAATGATTTATGTGGGTTTATGTTATGTTCTACCACTTTGCTAAAGTTGTTAATTATTTCAACCAAAAAAAATTGATTCTCTGGGGTTCCTTACAAATACCATCATGTCATCTGCAAAGAGTGGTAGTGTTGTTTCCTCATTGCCTATTCTAGTTCCTGTCATCTCTTTTTTCTCTCTCTCTTTGCTATAGCTAACATTTGTAGTACTATGTTGAATAACAGTCATGATAAGGGGCATCTTTCCCTCACCCCTGATCTTATTGAGAAGGCTTCTAATTTATTCTCATTACAAATAATGCTTGCTGATGGTTTTAGGTAGATACTGCTTATCATTTTAAAAAGTACTCCCTCTATTCCTGTGCTTTCTAGTGTTTTTAATAGGAATTGTGCTGTATTTTGTCAAAAACTTTTTCAGCATCAATTGAGATACTCATATGATTTCTTTTGGATTTATTAATGATATGGTCAATTATGTTGATAGTTTTCCTACTATTGAACCAACCTTGTATTCCTGATATAAATCCCACCTGTTCATAGTGTATAATCCTCTTGATAGATTGCTGTAGTAACTTTGCTAGTATTTGGTCCAAATTTTTGCATCAATATTCATTAGAGAAACTGGCCTATGATTTTCTTTCTTTGCTTTGGCTCTTCCTGATTTAGGTGTTATCAACATATTTGCGTCAAAAAAGGACTTTAGTAAAACCTCCTTCACCTATTTTTCTAAATAGTTTATATAGTATTAGAATTAACTGTTTTTTAAATGTTGGGTAGAATTCACTTGTGAAACTACTTGGCTCTGGGGATTTTTTCTTAGGCAGCTCATTAGTGGATTGTTCAATTTCTCTTTCTAAGATGACATTCTATTTCCTGATTTGTTAATCTAGGTAGTTTATGTTTTTGTAAATATTCATTAATTTCACTCATCGATTTGTCAGATTATTGGCATATAATTGAGTAGAATATTTCCTAATTATTGCTCTAATTTCTTCTTCATTGGTGGTGATCTCACCCTTTTCATTTTTGATACTGGATATTTGGTTTTCTTCTTTCTTTTTTTTTTAATAAAATTAACCAATGGTTTAGTTATCTTACTGATTTATTCATAAAACCAGCTCCTAGATTTATTCATTAGCTCAATAGTTTTTTTTTTTTACTTTCAATCTTATTAATCTCATTTTTGATTTTTCAGGATTTCCAATTTGGTGCTCAATTGGGGATTTTTAATTTGTTCTTTTTTTAGTTTTTTTTTTCAGTTGCATGCCTAATTCATTGATCTGTTCTTTTTCCATTTTGTTGATGTAAGAATTTAGAGAAATAAATTTTCCCCTAAATACTGCTTTGGTGTATCCCATAAATTTTGGTACGTTGTCTCATCATTGTCATTCTCTTAAATGAAAATATTTATTGTTTCTATGATTTGTTCTTTGACACACTTATTCTTTAGGAATAGATTATTTAGTTTCCAATAAATTTTTAATCTATCTTTCCACTGCCGTTTGTTGAATGTAATTTTGTTTTATGATCTTTAAAGGCTACATTTAATATTTCTGCTTTTCTACATTTGATTTTGAGGGGTTTATGCCCTATTACAAGGTCAATTTTTGTGTGTCATGTGGTGCTGAGAAAAAGGTATATTCTTTTCTGTCCCTGTTCAGTTCTCTCCAAAAGTCTGTCATAGCTAACTTTTCTAATATTCTATTTACTTCCTTAGTTTCTTTCTTGTTTATTTTTGGTTGGATTTATCAAGTTCTGAGAGGGGACAGTTGAGGTCCCCCATTAGAATATCTATTGCTATCTATTTCTTTCTGTAATTCACTTAACTTCTTTAAGAATGTAATGCTGTACCACATCTATATTTAGTATCGCTTTTACTTCATTGTCTATGGTCCCTTTTAGCAAGACGTAGTTTCCTTGCTTATCTCTTTTAATTAGGTCTGTTTTTGCTCTTACTTTGTTTGAGGTAAGGATTTCTACTCCTGCTTTTTTTTTTTAACTTCAGCAGAAGCATAATAGATTCTGCTCTAGCACCTTACCTTTACTCTGTGTGTCTCTCTGCTTCAAGTGTGTTTCTTGTAAACAGTATGTTGTAGGATTCTGGTTTTTTGATCCACTCTGCTATCCACTTCTGTTTTGTGGGAGAGTTCATCCCATTCACATTCACAGTTATGAGTATTACCTGTGTATTTCCCTCCATCCTATTTTTCCTTTTGTTTGTCCTCTCTCTCCTTTCACCCTTTCCCTTCTTACCAGTGTTTTGCTTTTAACTACAACCTCACACCCTGCCCTCCTTTCTATCATTCTCGACCCACCCTCTGTTACATAATCTCCTCCTCTGCCACTTCCCAATCAGGAAAGATAGATTTCTATAATCAACTGATTATGTAAATTGTTCCCTTTTTGAGCCAATGTTGATGAGAGTAAGCAAACACTGCCCATTGTCCTCCCTCCCACCTTCCCTTTCATTGTAATAGATCTTTTATGCCTCTTCATATGAAATAATTTACTCCATTCCACCTCTCCCTTCTGCACCCAGGGTACTCCGCTTTCTCATCCCTTTATTGTTTTCTCATTCCCTCAAATTCACCTTATACCCATATCCTCTGTCTATGTATATTCTTTCTAGCTGTACTACAGTGATACAATTTTTAAGTATTACAAGCATCATCTCCTCATGTAGGGATGGAAACAGTTTAGCTCTATTGAATCCCTAATGTTTTCTGTTTCCTTTTTACCTGTTTATGATTCTTTTGTGTCTGGATATTAGAGATAAATTTTTGGGTTAATTCTGGTCTTCTTCTTATGAAAGCTTGAAATCCTTCTGTTTCATTGAATGACTATTTTCCTCCTTTATGTATTATGCTTAATTTCACCTGGTAGGTGATTTTTGGTTATCATCCTAGTTACTTTGCCTTCCAGAATATCATATTCTATGACCTCTGATATTTTAATGTTGTAGCTGCCACATCCTATGTAATCCTGATTGTGGCTCCCCCATGTCTGAATCGTTTATTTCTGGTCACTTGTAGTACTTTTTCCTTGACCTGATAGTTCTGAAATTTGGCTGTAACGTTCCTTGGAGGTGATCCACGGATTCTTTCAATGACTATTTTCCCCTCTGGTTCCAAGACATCAGGGCAATTTTCCTTGATAGTTTCTTGAAAGATGCCAGGTTCTCCTTTTGATTATGGCTTTCAGGTAGTCTAGTGATTCTGATATTGCCTCTCCTGGATCTATTTTCCCAGTCAGTTGTTTTTCCCATGAGGTATTTTACATTTTCTTCCATTTTTTTCATTCTTTAGATTTGTTTGATTGATTCTTGATGTCTCATAGAATCATTAACTTCCACTTGCCTAATTCTAATTTTTAAGATATTGCTTTCCTCAATTAGCTTTTGTACTTTCTTTTCCATTTGGCCAATTGTATTTTTTAAGGAGTTGTTTTTTTCAGTGAATTTTTGTATCTCCTTTTCCATTTGGCCAGTTCTACTTTTCATGTAGTTGTTTTCTTTTTCCAAGCTGTTGATGCTTTTTTCCCATAATTCTCTTGCATTACTCTCATTTCTTTTCCCAATTTTTCTTCTATCTCTCTTATATGATTTTTAAGTTCCTTTTTGAGCTCCTCCTTGAGTTCTTTCTGGGCTTGAGACCACTTCTCATTTTTCTTTGGGGTTTTGCTCATAGGTATTTTGACACTGTTGTCCTCTTCTTAGTTTATGTCTTGGTCTTCCCTGTCACCATAATAACTTTCCATGGTCAGATTCTTTTTGTTGCTGTTGTGTTTTGCTGATTTTTTTGGGGGGGGCCTTTTTCCTCTCTTTTAAATTTGAGCTCTGCTCTCGGGATGGAAAGGATACTGTCTCAGGCTTCTTGTGCCTGGGACTGCAGGCTGTGGCTATTTATCTGGTACTGCACTGATGTTGCCCTGAATCCCACTCAAGACTCTCATGTCTGGTGGGGAGGGGAGAGGTGTGTATCGTTGGTGTTGCTGCAGGCCATAGGCAGCTTACCTAGTGCTAAGCCAGGGCCCTAGTGATGGTATCTGGCATGTGCTGATGCTGGTGGGGTGTTTCTGTGTTTCCCCAGGGCTATACTGAAGCACATAGTAGTCTGGCTGCTGGCAGCTGCCTGGTTGTCTAGAGCTATGCTGAAACACATGGCAGAGGCCCAGGTGACTGCCTGTTTGCCTAGGCACACATAGGGTTGGTTTCTACCTGTTTACCTAGGGCTAAACCGAGGCACTAGGAGTCTGGTCACTGGAGCTTGCCTCTTTGCCCATGGCTATGCTGAAGCATGTGGCTTTTTCAGAGCTGGAGTCTGCCCATTCCCTTAGCTAAACTGAGGCACATGGTGGGGGGGTCCTGGTGTTGGTGTTTGTCTGCTCCACTGCACTGGGGCTCAGGATCTCCCATTGGTGTGCTGAAGTGGGACTTGCTGCTGGCTTGCTGGGATGCTTCCTGTGCTGGACTGCACTCCCCTTTTACCCAAGTGAGACAGACCTTTCCTGCTGATTTTCCAATTTTCTTAGGATCATCTCCTCATCTTTTTGCTTGTTCTGCTGTTCCAGGATTTGTTTTGGGGTGTAATTTTATGATTGTTTGGAGGTGAATGTGGGAGAATTATGACAATTAACTGTTTACTCCACCATCTTGGCTCTTAGAAGTCAATAAACTACCTTCTAAAGCCAGAACTGATGATTCAAGGGTTCCTAAGCCAAAACACTGCAGGTGTGCAAAAGAGGTGCCCTGCCCTTATAGTTCTTTCTTTCTTTTGGGACTGTGAGGAGGCAAGACTACTTTGAGTTACCTCTGAGAACCAAGTAGGAGGAAGGAAGACTGTCCTGTATCCCACCTGACTACATGGCTGCCTTTGTTACTTTGTATTTCTTCTTTCTTGATCTTAGTCAAAGATTTTTAATCCTTAAATAAAAATCACCTGACCCTTAAAATCTCCCTTGATATCATCCTATATTACTTCTTTCTTTCACAAACATCTTGAAAAAACTATCCATGTTTGTCATGTCTTCTTTCTACCCTGTCACTCACCTCTTCTCAACCTTCCTTGCTGAATTGTCATCCATTCTCTACACTATGGGTTGGCATATATCCTATGCCTCTTCTCTTCTTTATACCTTTTCTCATGGCATTCTCATCATCACCCATGGATTCAAATATCATGTCAATGTAGAAGTCCCTCGAATATTCAGTAACAGTCTCCTGAGTATTAGTCCAGCATTACCAAATGGCTATTGGGTATTTCTCATTGGATGTACCTTACACAACTCAAAATTATTATGTGAAAAAAAACCTCATTATTTTTACCCAGCCTCTGCTCTTTGGTAATCATTTTTTTTCAAATTACTTCTAATTAAAAACACTACCATCCTCACATTCATAATCTCAGATTCTTCTCTATCCCACACCCCATATATCCCTCTACAGCATATTTCAAATATATGTAATTTTCTCCACCTCCCTGATTTAGGCTCTCATGAGCTTTTGATAATACTATTGTGATAACCTCTCCATTCTTCTCCTTACCTTATCTCCCTTCTCCAATTCATTTTTATATATAGATGCCAGAAGCTTCAGGGGCTCCCTAGGACATCTAGGAGCAAATATAAACTCTTTTTTATGGAATTTAAAGCCCTTCACAATCTAGCTCTTCCTGCCTTTATAAACTTGTAATACATTATTACCTTTCACACATTCTATGGTCTTTACACCGGCTTCTTGTTTTCCTTCATACATGAGATTCCATTCAACCTCCGTGACTTTGCCCAGGTTGTCCTTGATCCCTGGAATGCTATATTGCTTCACCTGTGCTCCTAAAAATCACTAGCACCCTTCCAAGCTCAGCACAAAAGCCATCTCAAACTTAAAGTAATTTGTGATCCCCTTAGCTGCTGATGCCCATCTAAAAATTACATTGTATTTTCTTTGTATGCATTTTGTATTTACTTATATGTTTATGTGTCATTTATCCTGATAGAATCTAAGCTCCTTCAATGCAATGATTATCTATTTTTGCCTTTAGGTTAAGTATCCAGGATAATGATTAGCGTAAAATATAGGAATATTTAAATTACCATGAGCAAAATTTTAAAAATGTAAATTTATTGACTTATAAAATAAAAACCTAACTTTTGCATCTTTCAAAAAGATAAAAAATATGTCCTCCAGGGCAGAACCAAGATAAGTCAGGGACTCACTTGAGCTCTCCCCCAGACTCCTCCAAATATCTTTAAATAATGACTCTAAAGAAATTCTAGAGTGGTAGAACCCACAAAAAGATGGAGTGAAACAATTTTCCAGCCCAAGACAACTTAGAAGTTCAGCAGGAAAAGTCTGTTGCACTAGGGTGAGAGAGGAGCACAATCCAACGCAAGCCATGCTAGCATAGACAGGGCCCCAACAAACCAGGAGCAGGCCTTGGGGAGCCTGAATCAGTGGCAGCAGTGGCAGTTTCCAGACCTCTCAGCCCACCGATGGTAAAGGGATCAAACAACGGGTCAGAAGGAGATTTACGGGGGTCCCTTTGCTGACACCATGGGTAGGACTCTGTTACATTGCCTATATTTGGATCTGGGTCACAGCTCTGGGTCTTAGTCCCAGTGCAAGGCAGAGCACTAGCACAGCAGAGCCTGTGGCCACAGGGGAGTAGGGACCCAGGTCACAGTTCCAGAATTAAAGAGAGCACTTGTGGTCTCTCACAAACCAGTGCACAGTGCAGGAGAGTAGTAAACACACCTCTCCCTAGATCATACCACTTTTGAAAGAGCCCAAAACTTACAGGCCTCCAGAATTACCTCTGAAAATAGCCAGGCAAAAAACCTGAAGCTTGGGACAGTGCCTTCTCCACTTCGGAAGCAAAGCTCCACTTTAGCATAGTATTAAAAGTCAAGCCATAGGCTGGAAAATGAGCAAACAACACAAACAATTCTGACCATAGAAAATTACTATGGTAACAAGAAAGGTCAAAACACACATTCAGAAGAAGACAACAAAGTCAAAATTCCTGTATCCAAAGCCTCCAAAAAATATGATTTGGTCTCAGACCATGTAAGAGTTCAAAGAGCATTTTTAAAATCAAGAGGTAGAGGAAAAATTGGGAAGAGAAATGAGAGTGATGCAAGAAAATCATGGAAAAAATAGTCAACAGCTTGGTAAGGGATGCCCAAAAAAAATACTCAAGAAAATGACACCTTAAAAAACAAAATAGGCCAAATGGTAAAAGAGGCACAAAAATCCAAATGAAGAGAAAAATATCTTGAAAAGCAGAATTGGCCAAATGAAAAAAGATACACAAAAATTCACTGAAGAGAAAAACTCCTTAAAAAATAAAATTGACCAAACGGAAAAGGATGGAAAAGGCCAAATGCTCACTGAAGAAAATAATGCCTTAAAAGTTAGAATTTGGTAAGTGGAAGCTAACGACCTTATGAGACATCAAGAAACAATCAAACAAAATCAAAAGAATAAAAAAAACAAGAAAATTTGAAATATCTCATTGGAAAAACAATTGACCTAGACAACATATCTAAGAGAGATAATTTGAGAATTATTGGATTACCAGAAAGTAATGATTAAAAAAAAAAGAGCCTAGACATCATCTTTCAAGAAATTACCAAGGAAAGCTGCCCTGATATTCTAGAACCAGAAAATAAAACAGAAATAGAAAGAATCCACCCATCACATCATGAAAGAGATCCCAAAATGAAAACTTCCAGAAATATTATAGCCAAATTCCAGACCTCCCAGATCATGGAGAAAATACTGCAAACAGCCAAAAAGAAATAATTCAAATATCATGGAGTTACAGTCAGGATAACACAAGATTCAGCAGCTTCTACATTAAAGGATCAGGTAATGGGGAGGGGGTTGTTAAGGAATTAGATAATGCGGGAGGAGTTCCAGCCTCAGTGGAGCTGTGCATGTGATTACCCACAATGTAAGCAGAAAAACCCATGGGTGGTTGTATGTATGATAATGATATTATAATAAACCTCTCTATGTCATAAGTTCACCTATTTTGCTATTACTGTGCAGGTGCCTACTTAGGGAAAGTGCATTCTATTGTGTTGGGGTCCACATCCTGCTTTGGGCATCCTGATGGTGCTGCTTTCTGATTGGCTGACTATTGTGGTCCTGTCTGAGACTAGATGGATGTGGTTGTGTTTGAGTGCACGGACACACCTGCTGTTTCTGTGGGAAATATGAGTTCATGGAAACACCTGTTGTTCTGGTTAGACATATATGAGGAATTTAGGATATTGAGTCAGGGGCGGGGGCAGTGGCTAGGTAGGGGCAGTGGGCCTGCTGTTCAGTGGGATCTATGAGCCTAGGGGCCTGTGGTGTCGTTAAAGCCAGATTGTGTGGCTAAATCTGGACATTCCCGTTGTTCAATGAGGCCCATAAGGAAGTTAGAATGTTGGAGCTGGGGGCAGCTTTATTAGGATTCCATCATTCCCCCTCAAAGAGCTGGGTCTCAAATTCATTTGGAAAAAGGGCAAAGGTCTCGGCTTCTGTAGCTTCTTCAGGCTGAAAAGGGGAGTAGAGTTGTCCCTGTCCCAGTGGGTTCCAGGAAGGAGACTGACTGGAGCTGAGCATACGCCGTATCCAGGGGATGATGGGTGGGCATGGGCCAGTATCCACTGTTTGCTACCAACTGTAAGTGAATGGCTTGTAGTCTGGAAGACACAAATATGACAGGCAAATTCAATACGTAGGGCCCCAAATATAAGGAGAAAGAAACCAAGAGCCTCATGATACTATTATTTACTTTTGACATACAGGTTTATTTGATTTTGTTACTTTCCCAAAAGTTTCTACTCTGATTCTAATTCCTTTAGGAGGATCAGATGCTATTGAGGAACGACACTCTTCAGGTGGAAGTTTCCCATCCTTGAGTTCAACAGTTATATAAATGAATTTGCTTATAAGAAGCTAACTTTGCTCCGATGATAATAAAAGACTTGGGAGGACACTTTAAGTAATTAATTCCAAAACAGTGCATATCAATAAGTAGTTTATAATAAAATGTTTATACTTTTATTCCATAAGTTTCTTAAAAGTTTCTTTCAAGAAAAATGATTGCACTGAAATTCTTTTTTTCCAAACCAAACTAAAGATGTTTCTGATTTAGTTTCAGTAATTAATAGAATAACAGCTAGTTCCCTCAATCAGTTTTACCAATACCCAATTATTCTTACATAATTTTGAAACATTTAAGGACCTTATTTCATACAGGTGTATATATCTAGCAACAGGCAGTTGACTAGGCCTAATATCCATTTGTTAAGCTGTTTAGGATATAGAAAGGAATATAATTTTAGGCTGAATAACTCAGACCTTAAACACACATTTTATTATAGTAGCTTAGATGTATCCCAATCTTAGTCTATGGATAATGATTAACATTGTGTTTGTACTTTTGTTTCACAAACTTCTTTTCTCTTCGTCTAATTATTCACATATCATTCACAAAAAAATGTTCCATTTCAAGGATTTAATTTTTCACAAGACTATGCAGGCAGGCAGATGACAAGCCCAAGTACTAATTTACCCAATTGTTTGGTATATGGAATGACACTGAAAGCAGCATGATCTCACATACTTACATTGTGCACATATCTTTCACTGACCACTAGCCTTGATTATAGAAATTTGCTATAAAAGGAAAAAGTAGGAACATGATTATGCCAGATATAACATGGTTAGCCCTGTTTGAATTCAGATAAGAGTCACAATTATCAATTTCACCTCATAGCCAGACTCAGGAGTAGCCTGGTAGGAAACATTCCCTTTCAAAGGAAAACTGGGAAAATTGAGCCAGGAGGGTCCTATCTTAGATTAAGGTTAACATTGTCATCTTGGCTTTTGCCAGAAGGAAAGCTCCACCTGTAACAGGATCACATTCCTTCTGAGTAGTTTGTGGAATTTCTCTCAAATACTGATTTAATGCAGACAACTATACCTAGATTCAAACTCCAAATAAAATCATTATAGTCCCAAGGGCTTTTACCTCAAATGGCAAGTCTCACCAATCACAGCTTAGGGCTGCATACAATTGTTTTTACTTTTATAGAGTTGCAATAAGCAATAAAAATTTACCATGACTTACGTTCATAAGAGATTTCACTTAACATCCTTCATTTGTTTTTCTTTCCTTTTCAAGTTTAAATTTATCCTGGTACAAAGATAAATCATTAGAAATCATTTCTGTGTTATACATAAACTTGAAAATTCTGAGCAAGCCAAGTTCATTGTTTGGGAACTCCATAACCCAAGCAAGCTCTTCTTTCCTGGGGCAGATGACCTTGCCCACCATATGGTTTCCGGAGATCTGGAAAGTTTACAAAATAAGGGGAATCAGCAGGGACTCCAGAGAAGAGGCTGCCTGTCCACCACATGATAGTCTTCCTCTGGACTAATGAAGATCACATACTTTCTATGTGTCAAGTCCTCTGTTTTCAATCTTAACTTAATTTATTTTGCCCTGGCTGATTTTTTTTTTTTGCCAGAATGTCTTTCAGAGTTCCCATATTTTATTTTTAGGATCCCACTATACGGTATTTGGCACATAGGTCCTCTAGTCACCTCCCCCCATATCCCTACATTGGAGGCAACCTTGGCCATCTTCCTGGGGAGGGAGTAGAGAGTATCCACCTCATCTATCATTAGAGCTGCTGTGGGACCAATTTTAGGTTTTAACATTATAACAATAACCCCAAGTAACTTAGTTAATGATCTTACAGTTTTTATAAGTGACAGCCAAATTGTTTTCGTTGTAAGACAGGGTTAGCAGGCTTTAATAAAATAACATAACTGGTTTTAAACAATCTTTTCCACTGCCTTTTAGTTTCAAAAAAATTCAAATTAAAAATTGCTTTGTCTAACACCATTACTGGCTCACAATGGTCACTCAAATTTTACAACATAAGAGAATTTTACAACAATTTAGAATACCACAAACAACAAATTTCAGATGACATTAATTCCATTTCCAAATCATCACGTATAAAAATTATTGATTTTCCTGGCTGGCTTCTTACCTCGTACTGCTCTGGCCCATCCACCTTTCCCCTCTCCCCACAGTTGTAGACACTGCTGAGTCTGAGGCTGCAGCTGCTTGCCTGGGGGGCAGGTTTCAGGATGTCTAAGGACCCAGGTACATTGCCAGTGGGGCCCCCATTGTAGTTGATGCACCTCCCCCTCCTTCCTTTTGCTAAGTGGGGGAGGGTGACCCAAATTCCTTACCATTCTCCAGCACTCTCGTTTCTTAATCTGATCTAGGATAAGAGGAGTTAACAGAATCTGCTAAGATGTTTTTAACTGTTCTAACTTTTCACTGTAGCCTTACCTGGTCAGAGCTAGGACCACAGGAAAAAGGATCTTAAGACTTTTTTTTAACTTTTACTCAAGTAAACTTCACTTCTGTGTCCACCTCTTAAAAACTCCCACTCCAAGAGTGGGAGCCTTGAACCTGCCAGTCAAGGTGAGTGGACTCTAGAAAAGATCTAGTTGGCACCTAGTCCTTTCTCCCCAGTACTGGAGAGCTCAAAGGCTCTCTTTTTCAGATCTATGCATTTTCCAAATTTATCTAAATGCCAAATAATATAATAAATTCTAGCTCATCTTAAACACCAAATTAGGACAGACAACATTTCATTTAAAATGTAACCAGGATAAATTCAATTACCTGGATTTATATTCCAAGTGATCCTCAATTACCTTTGGCTGTGTTCCAATTAACAAGACCCTTTTCGCTTTCTGTCACCCAGGAAAGGGTTAAGTTCTAGTCCTATTCCAAGGTGCAGCCTTGAAACCTGCCTCTCTTTGATCAGTGAAGTGACCCTTTTCCTCTTAAATAGATCTGAGGGGAATAGTTTCCCTGTTTGTTTGTTTTTTTGTCTATCCCTCCAAGTCCAGAAAGTCTAGAACTTGGCCAGAATCCAAGAATGTAGAGAGAGAAAAAATTTTTGCCAGCAACCTTTTCTTTAAGAGATGCTCATCAATCTTTCCAGCCCAGGTTCAGTTTTTTCCTTTTCTGACTGGCTGCATTTAAAATCTTACAAGGTGGCAGACTCAGAGATTTTCACACAGACGCAGAGCAGACAAATAAAAACAGAAAGCACACATAGTGATAACTTTTCTTGGTTCTCTAGATCATATTGAGACCAGGCTCTATTACAGTTTATTAGTCATGTGGGATGGGAGCAGGAACTGAATGCCAATAAGCCTAAGGAAATCCCTGCTATAGACAAATTCATCTCTTCTGTGATGTCTCACCAGAAGGATGAGAAAAAAATTAGTTCAGAAAAAACTCCCCAAGAAATTCCCAAACATAGCATCTTCTGTCCAGAGGGAATTTTCCGTCCACAAAGGCCTTGGGCACTAGGGTCCAAGCAATCTAGTCAAACCTTCCTAGGCATTTGAAGGACCTCCCAGCTAAGAGAAGGGAAAAAGATAGGTTTACCTTTGAATTAGAGGGGGTCTGACTCAGACACCCTGATGGAGGATGGGGTGTCAGAGTCAGAGACTCTGTCCACCCATGGATGCCAAAAACCATCGAGGTTTCATGATGTGTTGCAGTGGCACCTTATTAAAGAATTTAGTATGACCATCTCTAATCCAAGTACAGGCATTTGTTGAGGATTGATGCCCCTCAGAATTAGGCTAGCTTCCAAGAGGAACCTGCAACTTCAGTGAAAGCAAAACAGATTTTTATAGGGTAAAGATGCAATTACATAACAGAAATTATGAATATTTTAAAAGGCAGGAGAGATTTGTCAAGGGATTAGGTAATGAAGAGGGGTATGTTAAGGAATTAGGCAATGGGGTTCCAGTTTCAGTGGAACTGTGCATGTGATTACTCACAAAGCATATAGAAAAACCTATGGAGGGGGGCTTGTATGTATGATAATGATATTATAATAAGCCTTTCTACATCATAAGTTTACCTAAAGGACAGTTTTTGCTGTTACTGCACAGATGCCTACTTAAGGAAAGTCCCTTCCATTGTTTTGTGGTCCACATCTTGCTCAGGCATCTTGGTGGTGCTGCTTTCTGATTGGCCAACTATGGTTCTGTCTGAGACTAAATAGATGTGGTTGTTGTGGTTGAGTGCCTGGACACACCTGCTATTTCTGTGGGAAACATAAGGAATGGGTGTGGGGACAGTGCCGAGCTACAGGCAGTGGCTGGGATTCCATCACATGGACAATGACTGCTGTTTCTGTGAGAAATATGAGTTCATGGACACACCTGTTGTTCTGGTTAGGCATATATGAGGAAGTTAGGATATTGAGTTGGGGGGCAGCCAGGTAGGGGCAGTGGGCCTGCTATTCAGTGGGATCTATGATTGAGCCTAGGGGCCTGTGGTGTGGTTAAAGCCAGATTGTGTGGCTAAATTTGGACATGCCTGTTGTTCAGTGAGGCCCATAAGGAAGTTAGAATGTTGGGGCTAGAGGAAGCTTTATTAGGATTCCATCAGGGGGGAAAAGGATGGAGGGAAATACATAGTTGGTAATCATTACCAACCAAATTTTTACAGTGAGTTTCTCTGATAAAGACTTCACTTCTCAAACATATAGAAAAGTGAATCAAATTTATAGAAATAAGTACCATTCCTCAACTGAACAATGGTCAAAGGATAGGAACAGGCAGTTTTCAGACAAGTAATAAAAGCTATCTATAGTCATTTGGGGGAAAAAATGCACTGACTATTGGTGAGAGAAATGCAAATTAAAACAACTCTGAGCTACTACCTCGTACCTGTCAGATTGCTTAATATGACAGAAAGGGAAAATGACAAATGTTGGAGGAGACATGGGAAAATATATTATTGATGTAGTGGTATTCAATCATTCTGGAGAGCAATTTGGAACTAAGCCTGAAGGGCTATAAAACCATGAATGCCTTTTGACCAAGCAATACCACAACCAGGTCTGTATCCCAAAGAGACAAAAAACAAAAAGGAAAAGGACCTATGTGTACAAATTTATAGCAGCCCTTTTAGTGGTGGCAAAGAAGTGGACATTGAGATGTCCATCAATTGAGGAATGGCTGAACAAGCTGTATATGATTGTGATGGAACAGTATTGTGCTATAAGGAATGATGAGGAAGATATTCTCAGAAAAACATGGAAACACTTACATGAACTGATGGAAGGTGAAATGAGAAGAACCAGGAGAACACTGTACACAGTAACAGCAATATTATATGATGGTCTACTCTGAATAACTTAGCTATTCTCAGCAGTACAATGCTCTTAGACAATTCTGTAGGATATATGATGAAAGGTGCTGTCCATCTCCAGAGAAAGAACTGATAAGCCTGAATTCAGATCAAAGGTACTTTTTCTTTACTTTATTTTGTTTGGAGGGTTTTGTCTGTGTTTTTTTTTTCACAGAATGATTTACATGGAAATGTGTTTTGCATGACTACACTATGTCAAATTGCTTGCCTTCTCAATGAAGGGGAGGAAGGGAAAGAATTTGGGACACAAAACCTGGAAAAAAAAGAATTTTAAATTTGTTTTTACGTGTAAAAGGGAAAAAAAATATTAAATAAGAAAAAAAGAAAAATAAATATGTCCTCCAACTGCTGCAATCACTTGTTTTAGCATGATGTGGCAGAGTTTACAAGATTCTGATATGTATTCTTTAATTCATCATGAAACTATACTTCTATCTTACTGAATATTAAGTGTCACTTTGATTAATAGACTATTTTTCTAAGCTTTGATTAGAGCCCATATTTTTTCCTGTGGAGTTTAAATGAGTCAAGTTCCCAGCCCATTGAAGTATGTTTATCTCTATCCCTTAAATAAATTTCTTCACCTTTCATGATATGTGGCATGATTCAAGGTTGTGTTGTGCTATTCCATATTCGCTTGGGAATTTCTAAAATTTCAAAATTATTCTCTTTTTCAGTATATCAATATATGTGTCAGAGTTTATCATTCCATAAAAGACTTCCAAGCCCATTCTGTGAGGGACTGTCTGATGTTGACTACTGCCAAGTGAAAGTTGTGGCAAGATGGGGTAGGAACAAGATATTAGGAAGTAACCAGAGCTCACGCTCCCGAGGCAGGGGCTGTGCTAAGCGGAGTTGTGGTGAACTGGGATGGGAACTGGATACAGAGAAGTAACCGGAGCTCATGTTCCTGAGGCAGTGGGCAGTGCTATGTGGAGCTGTGATAAGCTAGGGAAGGAACAAGATACAAGGAAGTAGCCAAAGCACGTGCTCCTGAGGCAGGGGGTTGTGCCACGTAGGAGTGGGATGGCAGAGAACGAGTTCCTTTGTCTAGTCCTCTTCCCTAGGTGCAACGTTAACCCCAGACGCCTCCTTCCTGTGTCCTTCCTGACTTCCTGGGTCACGTACTTTCCCTTTGTGTAGCACTGACCCCAGACGCCTCCTCCCGGTAACTGGGCCTGACTTCCTGGGTCACGTACTTTCCCTTTGTCTATGCACTAATCCCAGACGTCTCCTTCCTGTATCCGGTCCTAGCCTCCTACGTCACTTCCTCTCCCTTGGTGCGCTAAACCCAGACATCCCCTTCCGGTATCTGATCCTACAATCAATGACTAATAGGCGGGCTGAGGAGGAGGGGCTAAGTAGGTACTTAAGGAACGGTAGGGATTGGAGCTCCCTCTCTCTCTCTTTTGCTCCTGCTCTGTTGCTCTGGCCTTCCTGCTTGGCCTTGCTGTGATGGCCTCTGAATAAAGCTCGAGTGTTGGCACCTCCTGATCAGCTCGTCTCTGTGTGTTTATCTGGGTGGGCACCGAAGACTGGTAAGTAGTATGACTCTGGCAGCCTGCTCCTTATAGGAGGAGAGTGCACGGCGCGGCCGGCACACCATTCAAAGTAAAAAAAATCCTAAAACAGTTTTGGGAGGAGGTTGTTTTAGAGTGTGATGAAGATGCTGGTTTACCTGGACTTCTGATAATATATTTGGTATAGCTTTGAAGGAAAAAGTGAGTTTCATCAGAAAAAATAACTTTTTTTTCCAAATTTTCAGCAGTTTAGTCTTTGTGTTGTATTGGATATGAAAAACATTTTTCTCCTTCATAGCAATAGTTAAAAGCTATTTTTAAATTGGTCTTTTTCTTGTTCTGCCAACTTTAAAAGAAGAAGCCTATATGGAGAAATGATTAACAACCCCTCTAGCCATCAAATCTTCTTGAAGGTTGTTGCTTGTTTTCTGAGGATTAATTAGACAACCTCAAAGCAATGGTTTGTCAGTTCTTAGTTTTGTTGGGGGGAGGGGGGTTTGTTTGTTTGTTTCAATTATACTGTCCTTTGATCTTTGGTAAAACTGATTCTACTTAATTTTGCCATTGAACAATCCCTGAAACACATGATTTTACTATACCAAAAGCCACTGCAATAGTTCTAATGGTCATTGAAGTGCTATAACTATTGAACGTTTCATTGGAGTAAAATACATTCTTTAAAATAATAGCATTATAAATACAAAAAAAGAGAGAAAAGAAACGTGTGTATCAGACAAAATCCAAAATTCTACTGGCAGAGAACTGAACTAAAGTTAGAAAACCAATTCAAATCAGGTTCATCTAGTCACGATCAAACATTCTTAGTCATTCCAGTGTCAACAGAATCAATAGAATGTGACCATTTGGCTATCACAAAATAAAGTCATATCAAAATTATTGTTTTCCCAAGTGAGCCACACCACACTCTTGGTGCCTAATAAATGCCTTTTGACTGATGGATTAATGGATCAATGTCAAGTCTTTAGTAAAGTACTAACAGATATAGTCTCAACTATGATGGACTAGCCACTTGTCTCAATGACTATTTTATGGAGAACTCACACAGAGCAAGTGCTCACATAGTGGTTAGAAGAGATGATACAAGGACACTCTCAAGGTCCCTCTTAAGAACTTTGGAATTGATTGTGTGACATGGCAGACACTGGCATGGGACCGCTCAGTATAGCATGCCCTCATCAGAGAAGGTGCTATGCTCTATGAGCAAACCAGAATTGAAGTAGTTCAAAAGAAAAACAAGATACCCTAATTTAGGGGCAGCTAGGTGGTACAGTGGATAGAGCACCGGCCCTGAAGTCAGGAGGACCTGAGTTCAAATCCAGTCTCAGACCAAACACTTGACACTTACTAGCTGTGTGACGTTGGACAAGTCACTTAACCCCAATTGCCTTAAAAAAAGGTACCCTGATTTAGAGAATACACCCCAAATGTTCACATGGAATATTTGTGCCAGACCTGTGGTAGAACATTCCAAGCTTATATTGGTCTAATCAGCTACGGTTGGGTGCATTGTAATTTGACTCTAGCATAGTGATGTCTTTTTGGTCCTCTTCAAGAATGAAGGACAACAACCAACCAACAGATATAGTAATGCATTGGCATCACCAGTGTATTAGCAGGATAAAATAAAGACCTCCAGTATATTGGGTAAATGCTATAGAAGGATATAAAGAATTCAAACAATTATGGAGCGAAGTAAGACAGCCTTTAGGTTTAGCATTTGCTAATAGCTACTATTTGTACCAAAGTATTAACAATAAAAATTAAATCATTGCTCTACCAAAGTATCAAAAGATAAACAGTAGAAGACTGCTATATGTAAACAAAAAAATGAAGATTTAGCATATATGATGTTTCATTTTATAACTAAGGATAACATGAAAGTTAATGTTGTTATAATCAAGTTGATTTGGTATCTTAGATTGTAAAATGTCATTGTTGGAAAAGACCTGTGTAAAGATACAATCACAACCACCTGCCCAATAAGCAAATCCTTTTCATAATATTCCCTTGAGATCATGTCTGAGTATCTCAAGTAAGCAGTACTTGCCATGAAGTTCATTCAGTTTTTGAACACAAAACCTAATTATTCTTTATGATGAGCCAAAACTTGCCCTTGGTTTGTACAGGACAAGTCTAATCAATCCTTCCACATGATGACTTTCCAAGTGTTTGATGATAGATGTAATTCTTCCTGTAATGCCCAACAATTTCAATGATGTTAAAATCAAACAACTAAAACTAATGGGAAAACTGTGAAAGGTGAGAAAGGTTTTACAAGAACTCCTTGTTGCCTTCTTTCCACTAAAAAATATTCATTTCTGCACAGGCTGGTCTAGAGTACTATGGAAAATTCCTCCTTTGAGACAATGCTTCATCTTCTTCAGTGAATTCAGGGATGCCTGCTTCAGCTTAATGTTCCCCAAAATTAAAATAAATGAGTGGCCTGAGGGGTAGATGGCAGCAATAATCTCACCAAATATCACTGCTAGTTCTTTCTGTGGAAGAAAGTAGCTGGATGTTGTTATGAGAAAGGCCAAACAGTAAATGACAAAGAGAATGAGGAAAGAAATCACAGCTTTCATGGCTCTCAAATGGATCTCTGTTCTGGGATCTCTAGCATCCGTGGCATTGAGCTTTATCTTCCTGGTATGTTTCCACAAGGAGAGGATTAACAGGCAAAATGAGATCACAGACAGGGTAAAAGGCAAGAGAGTCTCCAGATTGAGGAAAATCAGGGTGTTAAAATAGACAGAATTACCTGTATAATTTCTCTTGTTCTTTCTGCTTCCCCAGCCCTTGAAATCTTCATTAAATTTCTCTGTTATTAGGAGACTAATGAGTACAGTTTTAAGTAAAGATGCCAGTAGAATTATGAGGATCACTGTGTTAATTCTCCACTTCAGCCAGAGAAAAAGGGGATGGGAGAAATTGGCTATCTTCAAACAGTAGAATATGCTAAGGCAGGTAGCAAAGCAAACACTTAACTGGTTGGTGATTGTCCAGACACTGTCTATAAGTTTCAAAATATTTTCACAGTCAAATGCCTCTGGATAAAGAATCGTTATAAAACCATTTAATAGTATCACAAACAATAGGCCAATTCTGGAGATGGCTAGGCTGGTGAGAATTAAATCAACCAAGTAGATTTTCCTTTTCTTGATCCAGTCAATGAAGTTCACCAGTCCAATGAATCCATTCCCCAAAATCCCCATTATGAACTCTCCACCTATCATGATCAGAAAGATGGTCTCCACTGCATCTAACATGTCTGCTGAGAGAAAACTCCAATGTCTAATATCACAGCTTTTGTATTAATTTTCAACTAACTTATTGAAGAGAGGTATCTATGTCATTGACCTTTTGCAGTGATTCCTTTTTCTCTCTCTTTATTGTGTCCCCTGTATCCAGAGAGAAATTTTGACCTATATTTTTGTATAAGGTTAGAGTTGTTTTCATAAAATTTCCTTATTCTTTGCAAGTACATTGACCTATATATGGGTTTCTGGGAGGAAACTATGTGCCTTTCTATTTCCACTGCAGCCTGTGATTTTGCATGCACCATGATAACTGAAGGGTTGGGCTTCTATTTGCTTACATGAAAATAGGAAAAGATTCCCTTTCATCACTTTTGCATATTCCTTTTGAAGATACTTTGCATACAGTTCAGACTCATCATCAGTTTAACATATGAATCACATGACCCCCCAAATAATCCATATTCTTGACAATGAAGCAAATCTGAAAATGAACTTCATTATTGCTACCAGCAATGAATATTTATAAAGGCTCATAGGTCAGAATTAGAAATTATTGGAACAGTGAGCATAATACACATATATGCGAATATATATACAATTCAGGCTCAAAAGGAAGATTTTCTTCAATTATAGCTATAATTTAGAGAGGAAAACATTCAAATTCTAATACATTATGAGAATTCATATTCTCCTCAATCAGTGATCATTTACTCAAGAGTAACTTTTTATTAAACACTACTCAGAATAAAAAATAAATCATGTAATTGAATTTAAAGTTCTCTTTCACAATACAGAAGCAGTTTTCTGATTATTATTTAATCTGCTTTTTGAGAGAGATGAAGCAATCTATTTTCATTATGTCATTCCAATTTCACTCTCTCATGAATGTAAGCTCCTAGAGGACAGAGACTGTTTTCTCTTTGCTCATATTTATATTCTCAGGCTAAGCACAGGGTCCGGCATGTAGTTAGCTTAATAATAGCATGTAGTCAGTAGTTGGCTGACCTGGTGGCTTTATGTAGAAAGCAGTGCTTAAGCTGAGTTTTGAAGGAAAGTAGGGATTCCAAGAGGTGATGGTGAAGATGAAGTCCATTTCAGAGACAGGCAGCACAAAGGAAAGGAAACCTTTGATTTCTTTACTCCTACTGATACAGATCATTCTTTGATTTTAAAGACATGAATTTTAATTCTACCTAAATTAATTTACTTATCCAGTGCCATACCAATCAAACTACCAAAAATTATTTTATAGAGCTAGAAAAAAAACAAAAACAAAATTCATCTGGAAGAACAAAAGGTCCAGAATATCAAGGGAACTAATGAAAAGAAATGCAAGGGAAGGTGGCCTAGCTGTACCAGATTTTAAATTGTATTATAAAGCAACAATCATGAAAACTACTTAGTACTAGCTAAGACATAGAGTGCTGGATCAGTGGAATAGTTAGGTGTGCAAGACACAATAGTGAATGACTATAGTAACTCACTATTTGATAAATCCAGAGACTCCAGCTTCTGGGATAATAACTCACTATTTAACAAAAACTGCTGGGAAAACTGGAAAATAGTATGACTGAGACTAGACATACAGCAACATCTTATACCCTATACCAAGATAAAGTCAAAATGGACACATGATTTAGATATAAAGACTGATACTATAAGCAAACTAGGAAAGCAAGAAATAGTTTACCTATGGATCTATGGAGAAGGGAAGAATTTATGACCAAACAAGAGATAAGGAACATTATGAAATGCAAAATGGCTGACTTTGATTACATTAAATTGAAACATTTTTTGCACCAAGTCAATGCAACCAAGATTATAAGGGAAGCAGAAAACTGGGAAACAATTTTTACAGCCAGTGTCTCTGATAAAAGCCTCATTTCTAAAACATATAGAGAATTGAGTTAAATTTATAAGAATACAAGTCATTCCCCAATTGATAAATGATCAAAGGATATGAACAAGCAGTTTTCAAGTGAAAAAATTAAAGTTATCTATAGTCATATGAAAAAATGCTCTAAATCATTGAAATGAGCAGAACTGGGAGAATATTTCACATGGTAAAAACCACATTGTGCGATGACTGACTTTGATAGGCTTAGCTTTTCTCAACAATGAAAGGATCTAAGATAACTCCAAATGACTCACGATAGCAAATGCTATTCACATCCAGAGAAAGAACTATGGAGTCTGAATGCAGATGGAAGCAATCTATTCGCTCTTCTTTTCTTTTGTTGTTTTGTTTTGTTTCTTCTTTCTCATGGTTCCTCCCATTAGTTCTAATTCTTCTTTTCATCATGACTAATGTGAAAATATGCTTAATATGAATGTGTAAGTAGAATCTATATCAGATTGCATGCCGTCTTGGGAAGCGGGGAGAAGAGGGAGGGGGAGAAAATTTAAAATTCAAAATCTTATGGAAGTGAATGCTGAAAACTAAAAATAAATAAATAAATTATAAAAAAAGACATGAATTTTATCAGGAGAAGTTTGGAGTCATTGATTGAAAGTGCTGAGCAATATTTCCTATACAATCCAACCTAATTTCCTCTTGTCACTTAATTTGGCAGCCTAACTTGTTTTTTTTTTTAATCTATATTACTTGTTCAAGTTTCACTTATTAATGAATTAAATACCCATTAACCTAAATAACAAAGTCTGGAGAATATGTATTTTTCATATACTTTGTTGGTTTAGTGTAGATGGTTAGATCTGATGAGATTTTATAAGATTTTATTTTATGTATTATAAAATGATATTGCCCACAAGTAGAAACATTTGAAGGACCTCTGACAACTGCCCTGCTGCTGTCTCTCTTCTACCCATTTGGAACAGTGACCCTCCAGAACACACTTACAGAACCCATACTCACCCCTCACCACATCTAATTTGCTCAGCTTTAGAACTCTGCCTTTGGGCTGTTCCTCATTGGCAGGTGAATACAAACTCACTTATAACCTACTCTATCTAGATAGTTTCAGATTATACTATATGCTTCTTTCAGACATTTGCAGAGAAATCAAAATCAAGGCCTCCTTAGTCACCTTGTCATCTGCCTCATAGCTGTGTGTTGAGCCACCACACCCTTGAACCTTCTGCTTTGAGAACATTAGTCACATTTATACTACCATTGATATTAGAATGAGACTGTCTCATGGCTCTATTCATAATCCCTGTGATTCTTCAAACCAAAATTCTCTTCTTTGGCCACCATTATCCTTATTACTTCCCCTGTTAGAATATAAACTCCTTGAGGACAGGACCTATCTTGGTTTTGTATTTGTATCCTTCATTGCTAGCACAGTCTGGCACAAAGTAAAGACTTAATATTTTTTTTAATACATTCATTCATTCATTCACCTCACTATCAATAGGGGGTACCTCCTTAATTTGGACTTCATTTTAGGCAGTCTCCTTGACACCTCCATGGAAAACCACTTTGGTGAGTACATATCACTCTATATAATTCTTTCTTTCATGTCAATGGTCAGTGAATAGAGTAAAATTATCTAAGTAATTACATCTGTCCAGGAATCTTGGATGAATTTGATGTATGTACCCATAATCATTCACTCAGCCTCAGTCCCACAACACTTTGTCTAGCTGGTTTCTATCCTCCCAGAACACTTCTAAATGAACCTTAGGATTCACCTCTTCACAGATCATTATGTCAAACTTAATTGGTCTATTTTTTAATCTTAGGATAATTCTTAGTCTGTCAGAAAGTTTCCTGATGGCTTAGTAGACTTTTGGTTCTATACTCCTGTTACTACATATAATCATCTAACTAAATTATCTTTCTTTTGATGAATGGATGAAGAAGGTAATGAAGACAGGTAAATATAACATTATTCCCATAACCTCAAAAATCAGAATATATGAACCTGACATATAAGCAAATGCCTAAATTCACAAAAGACAATATCTTTTTTTTCAAGAAGTTTTACTTAAAGTAGGAGAGTAGACAAAGGAGATGGTAGAAAGAAACTACTGGCTTTTTCTTCTGATTGAAGTATTTGGGTAGAATGACTCCCACAGAGGAATCTTCTAATTTGAGACCAAGTTATTTATTTTCCTAAAAAAGCAAAAAGCCATACCTTTTAAGAAGATGGGGGGGGGGCAGTTAGGTGGCGCAGAGGATAGAGCACCAGCCCTGGAGTCAGGAGGACCTAAGTTCAAATCCAGCCTTAGACCCTTGCCACTTACTAGCTGTGTGACCCCAGGCAAGTCATTTAACCCCATTGCCTAGCCAAAAAAGAAGGAGGAGGAGGAGGGGGGGGGGGGGGAGGAGGGGGGGGGGGAGGGGGGGAAGGGGAGGAGGGGGGAGGAGGGGGGAGGGGGGAGGAGGGAGGAGGGGGAGGAGGAGGAGAAAGAAGAAGAAGAAGAAGAAGAAGAAGACGAAGAAGAAATGTGCATTTGGGGTAGGGGGGACTTCCAGGAGCTAAGATGGTGGAGTAAGCAGGAAATCACCCTAACTTTCCCAGATTTACCTCCATACAATCAGAAAACAGTGCCCCAAAGCAAATCCTGGAACACCAGGGTAATTACAAGATGGGGTGAAACATTCTTTTAGCCCAAGAAACTTGGAAGGTCCACAGAAGAGGTGTGTCTCACTGGGATAAATAGAGAGCATAGTCCAGGACAGGAAGCATACCAGCAACCCAGTAGCAAGCCCCACCTCAGCAATCCAGCAGGACATCCTGAGCCACAGTGTGGCGGAGCAGGCAAATGCCAACACCACAACCACCCCTCTCCTGCTCCCCCATCCCATGCCTCAGCATATCCAGGGGAACAAGCAGACACCAGCTCCTAGAACCACCATGTACTTCAGCATAGCCCTGGGGAAACAGGCAGCTGCCAACAGCTAGACTGTCAAGTGCTTCAGGGTAGCCCCCAGCAAACAAGTAGACATCAACACCACACCCCATAGCTGCCTAAACAGGCAGACACCAATGCTTGGACCCCCCCCATATAACCCAGAATACCCAAGTGAACAGGCAGCCTCC